GTGAATTAAAGCAATATTTGAAAAAAATCCGTAAAAAAATTTTATATTTTTGCTAACATTGATCACAGAGATCTGAGAAGACAAAGCAAAAAAACGGTAGAATGAAAATATAAACAATCTAAATCGAGTGTTTTTGCTCCCTTTCGGAACTCTCGAAGACGATTTTTTTTCAATTAACAAATTTTTATTAGTTATTACAAGAATCAAATTCGTATAATTAATTTCTCCACTCATTATATCCTTATAAATAATGTATTAAAGGTTTTTTTTTTATAATAGAATTCAATTCAATTAAGAACTATTTATGAACGATTAGCCCCGTAAAGTGTTACAGAGCAAGTATTATTAATATCCTTTTGAAAATCAGTATAAATTGAGTAAGTATGGTTCAAAAGGTGTTAAATTTTACATTAATTTTATTTTCACTCTTCAATGCAAACAAAAATAATAATTATCCTACCACTCATCAATACTTAAATTCTTACACAAATTTTTCGAGCATGATAATATAAATAATCTATTAATCAACTCCTTAAAAATTATTTAACAAATGTTAATTCTATGGAATTTTGATATCATCTAATCTAATTGCAGCAGTTTAAAAATTAGAAAATATGGGTAACATATAAATTGGTGCACTTCGAATTCAAATAAATTAAAGCAATATGTTATGAGAATATTTCAAAGCATATTTAAGCGACTTCCTAAAAGTTGTTTTTTTGCATATGATATAATATGATTCTAATCATGTTCCATCCATTACGAATATTCCATTTTGCTGTTATTATATTTTTTTTTCAAAAAGATTTAAATTTAATTTCAGAATATACAAAAGAAGGTGCAATATTTGCAATTGGAAACAAAAAAATTACATATGTCTGCTGCCTTCTTCTTCACAATGCAATATTGAAAACCGGTACGTTTTTTTTTGCTAACATGTTAACAATTTTCACTCTCAATTTTAAGAACCTTTTTTTCCTTTTAAAATAAACGACCTTTAGCAATGAGAAGCATAGGTTTGAAAGTCAAAAATTGTAAAATGTGTTGCAAAAATTCTGAAAATATTTGAGAACACTTAAGCTGAAAATAACTTCAGATTCCAAGAAACATTTGTCCTAAGCATTTGGTCTCTTTTATTGTAGCTCATTAATCTCCATTACTTATTTCAATAAGTCAAAAAAAAAAACTTCAGAATTTTTTTTATCATTTCATATATCAACAACAGATCAATTCGAAATATTTTCTAAAGAAATGATGTTTCATTCTGAATTCAAACTTCTGAATTATTTTGCTGTTTGTTCAAAAAGTTAAATCATGTTATTGCTTAACAACAGCTGCATCACAATTCATCCAGCTGTTTTCTTGCTTTTGTTTTTTAATCGTACTCAATCTATTAGCTGAGATCTGCCGATTTTAATCTCGAAATAGATCTCGATCCTAATCTCGACTCTGAATCCACCTCCCGTTCTTTTTCATTCTCATTCCTATGTGTGTTAATTGTTGCTACCGTTCTCTTTGCTATCACTTCATTCAGCAAGATTATTCTTATAATTAAAAAAAAAAAGATTTGAATTACTCAAAATCAATTATTGAGCTTTTTGTCATTTATTCCAAAATTTTGATGATTTAATTATCATTCTTAGTTTGTTTGCTCATTTGCTTGAACAACATTACTGAATTTTTGATTGTTATTGAAATTTTACCAAAATTGATTTTCTAATCTTTCATCAATAAAAAAATTATTTAGTTCATTTTTGAACAAGGTGAGAAAGAAATAAAGATAGATTTCAGGTAGTGAATTAATCTTTTCTCGCACTTTGGATAGCTCTGACGCCAGCTGAAGTTAATACAATTCCATCTTATATATTATTATAACGCTAAGTTTATCTTGAATAAATGGTTCATGAAGCTTTTCAACTTTCAGTTTCAAAAAATATTTATGTGGTATATCTCATTAATTTTATCATTTGCATTAATGATCGATGTTAATGCATTACGGAAGCAAGGCGTTGCGGTACGCGGACAATTAATGTGCGGTTCCGGACCGGCTACTCAAACTAAAGTTCGTATTGTCGATATTGATACAGGTTTGTATGGGTAAACTTATACTAATTTATGAATTTTTCAACCGATCGTATGATTCACTGATCATTTATAAATGTAATATAAAATGTAAAGAATTAATAAATCTATGAAAGAAAATGATATCATAATTTGAACTAAAAATACTTTAATGCTGCATAAAATTGTTGTTTAAAAAAATCCATCCCTCAATCAATCAAATATTTAAAACTTATTTGCATTCATTTTGCAACAATGATATTTAGCTCCTGATCCTGATGATAAACTTGATGAAAAAATAATTGATCCGGATGGGAGATTTGAATTAAATGGAAGTACACGTGAATTAACAGATATTGAACCAGTGCTATACGTATTTACTGATTGTCAAGATGGATTAACGGTATCTTTCCTTTCAAAAATAACGGTAATACGGTAGTCCTTATTGTAAAAAAAAAACAGAGAAAAATCTCGAATGAATTATTGAATGTCATCATATTTTCGTCATATATTTCTTACATGTCAATTATTATTTTATATAAAAGAAAAATTTGTCATTTTAGCCATGTCTACGTAAAATAACATATAGAATACCGAAAAAATTTATCCATAATGGAGAACCAAAACCGGAACAATGGATCGATATTGGTGTGTTAAATTTGCAAGGACATTTTGAGGAAGAAGAACGAGAATGTTTACATTAATTGTGATATATTCGATATTTATACCTTTGTAAATATAAAATTTCATCTTAATCATGCGTTACTTCTCTCTGTTTTAAAATAAATCACAAATTAATTTAAACAATTTAATTGAATTTTCAACAATAAATATATGATCTACACATGTTCATGAAGCACACACACACACACACACACACATATAAAGATAAAGTTAGGTAATTACTATTTTATCATTCATATTATGATATATGTAAATGGTTTGCCATTTGTTCGAATTTAATTCAATGTTTTACGATGCGCACAATTTTTTCTTTGAGTTACACCTTTACTCACACAATATTGTATAAATCAATGTGATAAAATATCCTAATTAAATTATCTTTAAATTATAAAATTTCTTATTTACAATTGATAAGATTAAAAGATGAATATTGATTAAAGTTAATCTGATAAGATGAAAAAATAAATATTAGTTAAATTCAATCCGTGCAATAATCTGTTCAGAATTAATCGACAAATTTTGTGTCACGTCGCTCTTTCGGATATATTATCTACAATAGAATATTCTAGCAAAAATGAAAAGTTACATCCATCATATGACATAAATTTTCTATAATTTAACTTTTAATTTCCCAGAAAAAAAATTAATTTTCAACTCTTTAAAAAATAACTTGCATGTATTTCCTGCAAAACGAAACAATGATAAGAGATTAACAGTTGAAATTGTTTTTTTTTTTCATAAAATAACAAACGAATATCGGGTTCTTTAAAAAAAGCCATTGATTTTGCGGTGAAATAATGAAATTTTTCCTATGGTTATTTTCGTTTTGCAGTCTGTTCAAACTTTCATTTCATTTTGCTTTAACTGACTTAGCAGTTGAGAGGAAGAATCCAGAATTTATTTCAAGTTCAATGGTAAAAAGTTATCATGGAAAGATGAAACACGATATTCAAATGTGACATATGGCCATGAATTAGGAATTGGATGGATGAATGATTGAGCTAATGAACTGTTTAGTTCGTTGTGAGTTCCATAAATAAGTTTAAATTTTACTTTATTGTTGCTTTACTGTTTTTTTTTTTTGTTAATTTTTTTTTACAAATCTTTCCTCGGTTAGAAGCTTGCAATATTTTTAGGATAATTTATGATAATTTGCAAATTTATGGTCAAAAAATTTAAATTTAACTATTTACTCATGTTTTTGCTCGCCAAATGTCAGAAAAAAAAGCTGAACGACTAAAACAAACCTGCAAATTTAATTTACCGATATCGAATGATTTCCTCGGTACTCTACCGATTGTCACATATTCCTTCGGATAATTTATGGCGAATGTTCGATAACCAACCTATTTTCATTTCACTTTTCAAAATTTTAAATTTCACATACGCCTCATATTTTATAGAATTCTTAATTTCAACCAAATAATTCAACGCATTTGATGTAGTCAAATGCATAAGTTTAATTAGTTCATTTGATTAATTCAAAATCGAATACTAGAATATTTTCGTACTTGAACAATATTAAAAATTTTAAAAAGTTATCTGAATCATCTACGGTGATTAACTTTTTAGTTTCTCAAGTCGAACCAAAAATTTAGTTTAAGTTATTGCTAATTTAACCTGTACTATTCACAAATTTTTAAATTCCTATCAAATCTATTTAAACTGACCTTTTTCAAATCTTTTTTTAGATCATCGTCACATCGATGGTAGAATCTAACCATTGGCTCAATGTCCTGCTCTGCTCGATCAACCGTATTTCCTTCAATTTCAAAATGTCCATTTGATGTTGTTTGCTTAGTTGACAGAACTTCCCCGGCATCTGCATTTTTCAAAAATAAGCGATTATTAATTAATTATTAGAAATGGATATAGGATGAGACTACTCCAAATCAAATGCAAAATAGTACCAAAGATTAATTACTAATTATTTAAAAATTACGATAATAATTACTTTTAATTCAAACATTTTTTCAATTAAATTTGCACTGTAATTATTCTAATTTTTTTCAAAGTTACAATTAATTTTCATTTAAAAATCATTTGTAATTGCTTATTCTAGTTAATGCATTAATAAAAAAAGATACTTAAACATATTCTTATAGATTTAAATGCTGAGTGGTTTGGAATTAATAGTATCAATATCTGCTATCAGTATTACTTGTAGACATTTGACTTTGAATGATCTTTATTGCGTTACATACTTTTTCATTTGGTCATTTAAAACTTGCAAATCATTAATAAGAAATTACTGATACAAAATTGACATACCATCGCTTGCTTTCCGGAATAGTTTTACTTTGACATCGGTAGCCGGAAGATGACCACACAGCAGAGTACCTTTTGCAGCTGTTGAACGAGTTGAAATTATTTCACCAAACTTTGGCTGATCACTTATAACCAAATGAAGAAATAAGAATAGAAAAGGCACCGATATCATTCCCTAAAAAAATGCTATTTTTAGCATATCAAATGCACCACTACTAAAATACACCCGAAAATGTATATATTTCATTTAACAACTTGGAAAAATGCATCATTCAGTGTTAGGCGAATAAAAGAATTGAGAATCGAAAACATTGAAACAAACAAATGCTTAGCAGCTGATTGTAATTTATGTACGGCAGCAGTTCTGATCATTTATCAATAAATATCCTTCAACAATATCCTCAATCATTTGGCAAAATATTCTGTTCCAAATATTTCTACCGTTAACAATCATCGCTCATCCTTTCATCATTATTTATTTATTTATTTGCTTTTTTTCTTTTTATTGAACCTTGTTACATTTGTCGGAAATTCGAAATTAATCTCTAACTACAATCAAGTAATTGAATTTTTTAACAAATGTAGGATCAAATGATTAACAATCTGATAAGGATTTGAAATTTCATCATCTGTGAGAAATGTGAATTAACTTGATATTGTTCTTTGATAGTAACTAGCAAATTCTCACTATATTTCATCAGATGTTCATTTGCATATTTCATTCTCATGACTTCTTAACAATTTCTTGTTTTAAATCATTCCTCTCCATAGCTATCTTTAGAGTTAATCTAATTGTATCAGATACGCCCATAAATTCACATCCTGTTCAAGCATTTAAATATCCCAATCAGGGGCCAAACATCATCATTGTTAATTTGTGGCAGCTTTACGCACAGTCAACTTCAGTTATTGTCATCAATATACCTATACTATTCAATAAACTACATCTATTGACGTAATCACCACATCAAATACAAAAATGTCTGAAACAAATATTTGAGACCAATATCGAAATCAAAGTAAACGATCAATTCTCCTTTCAAGGAAATACTATACTCTAACCCTCTTCGAAACACACAAAACTTTCACAACAACATTTACCAGCTCTATTCGGGCAACTGTTCGATCTTTTCAATTTGATTAAAATTACAATATGTGAAATATGTATTTCAATGAGTAAATATAGAGTGTCAAATCTCAGATATCCGTTTAGTTTTAAAGAGTTTTCGAAAAAAAAAAACCAGTTGTTCATAGTTTGGAAAATTATAATTGCGAGGATACAGCTTTATTCAAATTAAAGGTTTAATCATCTGATTATTAGTTTGTTAAATGCAAGTTTGAGAAATTAATTGCAGCTGTCTACATGGACAATTTTTTAAATGTAAATCCCTCTGCAACTCTATTCAATCTATAATCAGTTAGAAATTATAGTCCAGAAAAAAAAACTGTTTCAATTGTTCGATTTAATAATCTTTGAAAAGAACAATATTATCTAAAGTTGTCATTGTTAAAGGCTTAATAAAATTATGCATAGTCTTTATGTCTTCGACACTTTACCTCTTAAATTTAAATTGCAGAATAAATTTAAAGCAAAAATCTTACTGTGAACAAGCAATTTAGCGAATTTTTAATTTTATAAAAATTTATCTGGGATATGGATAGATGAAGTTAACTGAAACGGGATATTTGAACGAGTACCCTACTTTTCTTTATCATTATAACGCTGTAATATTGTAAATAACGATCGTGCTCTATCAGATCTCTATCATAGTGTGATGACGTTTTATATCATCATATCATACCTTGCGAACTATTGATCCATTCTCATCTTCCCCATATTTTTTGGTCTGTCATATAATTTCATAATATATAACTTATCAACTACCATCGAATATCATCTCCCATTTGTTTCAAATTGGCATTGCATTATTGAACGAAATTTCCGCATCACTAACAAACATAATGAAGTACCAATTATCATTTATAGTATAAATTCACTATATTCAAGTACCAATACACTATCATATATCATGTAATTTCA